GGAATGGGCCGTACACAGTCCTAAACAGGCTGAATGACGTCGTGGTTCGGATTCGTAAGTCTTCGAACTCTAAACCTAAAGTCGTTCATTACGACAGGTTAGCTCATTACTATGGCCATAGTACATAATGTAAATAATTGTAAATAGTATAAGACCATGGTCCATTTTGTTTTTAAATGTGTATTTCATTTGTATTTGATAGCATTTGATTTGTTTTATGTATTGCATTTATTGTTCATGTTGTTTTTATTATTGTAATGTAATGCTTATTAATGCATTTATGCCACAGTTTGTAAGTTTTGCTTCCTGTCCAGGGATTGTACTGCCCGGGACGTGCAGTCCTTGAGAAGGGGGCAGTGTTACGAATTTGGTATTTAAAAAGCTAATGTTAGTTCAATTAGAAATTAAATGGTTTTATTTCTCGCGCAGTACAGCGCGTGACGACTATTAAAAGAAAGCTAAGCCGGAAAATTGAAAATACAAGAGCGCGTGCATTAAATAATAAATATCTCTTTTTGATTTCGAGAAAGTACTGGAAAATTCTAGCGCGTGATTTTAAAATCTTATAAAAGGAGGAAAACATCTCAGTTTGTAGTAGTTGCTTAGTTTGTTGTTGTTTAGAAAACTACTGTTGTTGATTGTAGCGAATTCGCGGATTAGCGTTCTTTAGCTGTTTTGAATTACGTTCTATTGGACATTTGAGTAGTTAAAAGAAAACTACTGTGAGATATTGTAATACTGCATGATAATTTGAGAAAATTTAAGCATTTTTGTTGTGATAATAATAAATTTTTGTTCATTTTTCATCGGACTTGTGCATTCATTTCATAACGAACCCGTACGCACGCAACAATACTTTCCAGCAAATGTCTGAAAATATAATGCTGTAGCAAAACAATCAGGAAAGGAAACCAGAAAAAGATTGTGGTAAAGAAAGTTTCTCTTCTTTCAGAGAATACAACTCTTTTTTATTCTAATTCTATGACAATTGTCAAACTTAGTTTTTCTCAGATAAAAATCTTTTTAGACTGTTAAATTAATTGCAAATTTATAGGAATTCTTTAAAGCACTACTATTTTCCAATGCATTAATTTTTTTAAATTAAGTATATGGGTCTTTGAAAATTTGACATAAAAAGCTATTTTCCACATATTACTGTTTAGCTAAATATATCACTTCAATTTCTTGAAAAACTAGTATGTGATTTGGGTAAATTTTGCACATAGTGAAAAGCATAATATGAGCTAAAATTATGAATATTTCATTACACCATTTCTTTTTCTTCAAAAATTTATTGAAATTAGCAGCTACTCAGATATATAAATAGATAAAGTAATGATAAAAATATATTGAAGTAAAAGTCAAAAAAAAAAAAAAAGGGGGGGGGGTGTATTAGGAGAAACATGCAAATGTAACTGTGATTAAAGTTATAAAGTTAGGTTATTTGAATTTGGGCAAAGCATTTGGGCTATTTGCTTGAGGGGAGGCACAGCTTTGTGGGAGACTTTCTGTGGAAAATGAGCTCATATTCACATTACACAAGCGGAATTCCACAAAAAACAACCACGCAGCCAGCCTATTCACCTGCGCTCAAACCCAAGTCAGAATATCAGTATTCAATGGTTTTAACCACTAACAGAAATTAAAAGTATAAAGAAATGGCAGTGTGCATTTGGACTAAACTTCTGGGTCTGTTATAATTATTGTAATTTCAGATTGCAAATAATATTGAATACTCAGTAGTCCTCATAATACTTAAAGGTCAAAACAAGCTACCACTAATATCATAAAAGTAATTAGAAATATTCAAATTATTGTTTTTTATTCTTCAAATAATAATATACTTGTCTATTGCTTGAGTACTTGTACACATAAAATTTCTACTTGCATTAGTAATTCAAAAATTATTTAAGCTATGTAATACTAATTAAATCTCAGGAGATTGTTTGCTTCTTTTTAAAACTGTCGCAATATCCAAACTGTGCCAACGTTTTCTAATGTTAATTATTTTTAATTATAACTAATATCAGAATCTTCTCGCAGAAATTTAAATCAATGCTGAAAAACAAAGCAGTTTTCCAGTGTTGATTATGTTTTACCTAACGGATAAAACACATTTTGCATGTTGAGGCTTATATTATTGCTGAGAATTCTACATTTTTATTATTTTTTATTTCAGTACTTAAGAACAGCTATTTGAGTAAAGGATCTTTCTGATACATACTGAATAATTGCAGGTACATTCCTACGGACCCCCAGGGGTCCTCCTTGGTATCATTCAGGGTGTCAGGGGAAAGTTAAAATTGATTTGAGGATCCCTAAACAACGTCAAGGGGTCCATGCAAGGTTTAATATAAAATAATAAAATTGTGATCCACTTTTATTATAATGGAAATTTATATAAAACAGTAGGGATTTTTACATCCTGAATAAAATATAAATATAGGTGGGTGCTTTAAAATACAGTATGTTACTTAAGTATTGAGCGTTATGTAATATCTTTTGTGAATGAACATTGACAAAAATTATTTTCACTGATTTGTCACTTCTAGTAACAGTGGTGTGTATAACTTGTTTTAATGTTATTGTTCAATTTATTTCAATAAATTTACACTTTCAATTTCCATCAACACACTAACAACAATATAATAATGAAAAACCAATAAAAAATTGAGATAATCCCTCAAAAATGAAAATAAAACAAAATCAACTGACGCCTATGATTTAATAGGTCTAGATGGTGCCAGCTACTTAAGTTCATAACAAGCATGGCATGGTGTGAGACAGACGGCCAAAAACAGGTTTATACAGAAACGCAATAACGCCTCTACATGCACTAACCTGTCTACAATATAAACATAAACTATAAAAGAGTCGTACATTGTACAATTTAGTTCAATCAACCAATCAACAATTTATTTCTATATTATGCTGATATGAAGTGTAGAAACGAATTTTTCCAGTCTTAGACAAAAAGGAGTTTTGTGTTGTTAGTTGGAAGTTTTGGTATAGTTGCATTTTTTGTATTGTTATGCAGATAGTGTACTTTTGTTACCTAAATATATTTAAATAAAATTGATCTCTTTAAAAAATATTACATATCACATTTTTGAATATAGTAAACCCTTAACTGTGGAGGAATTACATATTTTTAATTAAAATTTGGGAAAAGATCGTACATTTTTTAAAATACAGATGTTTTTTGAAAAGTTAATTGTTGAGAATTTTTTTTTCAAAAACTACACAAAATGTTATTCTTACGTCAAATAATTTAGTCAAAGGGGCTTTACTGCAGCATTCCATTAAAAAATTATAATAATTAACAGTGGTTTGTTGCAAATAAAACATTTGATATACAAATTTTCTTATATCCTTTTTTGCCCTTTTTAACAGATAACAGTATGAGTAAGCTGAAGAAAAAATGCCAACAATACAGTGTTGGATATTTAAAGTATGGCTTTATTTCATCACAAAAAAATAGTACTTTACCTATGTGTCTTCTATGTAATAAAACTATGTCAAATGATTCAATGAAACCTTTCCAGATTAAGGAACATTTAATAAAAATCCACAGTGACAAAAAAGATAAGGATTTAGCCTTTTTTCAAACAGTCAAAGAAAAATATTTGAAAACACTATCACTGCAACAACTCATACAGAGAACATCTAAGCGAGAATGACGATGAACTGTGTGCTTCTTATAACATTCTTTATTGATTGCAAAGTCCTGAAAGCCGTACACTATTGGTGAAAAACTTATTTTAACAGCTGTAAGTGAGGTAATATGCAAGTCTTGCACAAACCAGCTTTCGACATTATAAACAAAATTTCATCGAGTAACAATACAGTACAAAGGATTGACAAAATGGCTCAGTGCGTAGAAAATTCTTTATGCGAGTACTTAAAAAACATCTGAATTTCTATACAGCTTAACGAGTCCACTTTACCAGGAAATGAAGCTTTACTTTTAGCTTATGTAAAATTTGTAAAAGAAGAAATATTTTGCCAAGAATTATTATTTGCTAAATGTTTGGAAACCAATACGAAAGGTTAAATGTTATTTACTGAATTAAAAACATTTTTTTGATATAAAACTATACTCTTGACTAATATAATTTATGTTGCAACAAACGGTGCTCTGGCAAGGGTAGGAAGATACCGAGGCTTTCTGGCATACTTAAAACAAGCTGTATTTTCAGTACATTGTGTCATTCATTGACATCATGTAATCGTGATAAGTCACATTTAATGATTTGCGACACAATTTAGTTAACTTAAAAAATGACATAGCCTATCTGACTGATTTATTTGCCAAATTTAACAAAACTACTTTGAAACTGCATGATGACCAATTAAATTTAATGAAAACTAAAAGCATAATATTTGAGTTGCACAACTTTTTCTGCACAAACAAAACTTGGGAAGAGGAGAATGTTCTCAGATTCTAAATCTTTCGAAATTGCAAAATAGAGATGAAGAATTACTGTCAATACCTAATGGCTCTTCCTGCAGACCTGAAACAAAGATTTAAAGACATTCTTCACTTGGATATTCCCGACTGGGTGTTGAACCCTTTTGAGCGTGAACAAACACAGATGAATTCATACTAATACAGGCGTAGATTACTGAAATAGTATCCACAATTGAGGAACTTAAGCCAATGTTTGAATAAAGATTCCACAAATTCTGGTTACAAAAACTAAATTTGTATCCTGCAACCCAATTTTATATCCTGCATTATGGGTTATTATACAGAAGCTGTTGACTGCTTTCCTGTCTTCCTGTTTGGTAGAATGTGGATTCAGTGCTGTTACGAACCTCATAAAAGAAAAGAGAGAGATATCTACTAGAAATTAGTGCTCGTGGGAATTTGCAGTTGCTACTCAAAAACATTCAGCCAGACGTAAATGCACTCATAACATCTCATCAAGTTCATCCAAGTCTTTATTATTTTTTTAAATTTTATTTTAAACAAGTTAAGTTAAAATTTCAATAAATACTTCTTCGATAATTTTTTTTTTTTTTAAATTTGTAATTTTTATACTATGCACTTATGTAGCTTTGCACTTGGGGGTCTGTGGGCAAGTTCTGACTCTAAAAAGGGGTCTATGGGTCAAAAAAGTTTGAGAACCACCGTTCTAAATAAATAAATTTATTTGAAAGAATGTATAATCACTTACATTAAATTACATTAAAAGAGCGGGTAGAAATCCTAGAAAGATGAAATCCAGTGCTGGATGTAGAAGCTAAATCTCTTAATTAATTTCCTAACATAAGTCACTCATGAGATTTGGGAATAAAGGTAGTAAACATGATTAGTTGCGAGTTTCCAATGAAACCAGAGTGGTCTTTAACACTGAAGTGTAAGATGAAAAAAATTAGTTGTGCTGTAAATGAATTTAGCCCTGGGAAACCAAGCAAATCATTTTGTGCCACCTTAGGTCCCAATCACATTATGTTTCGGCTATGCGAGACATTCATAGTTTCATTGGAAAAATCCCTTTCGGTACACATATTCAAAGACAAAGTCCAAGTGCGACATGCTACATGTCCAACAGCAAATTTACACACTTTCACACAAGCTCTCTCTACAACCTGTCTACCTACAAGCCTGTCTCTACAACATTACATTGAGAAATGAAATAAAAATATGGGAGATAAAAAGTGAATTTTCCTTTAAAACAAAAGGATTTCTTGCAAATGATCCTTTATTTATTTTTCATACAGGCTTCTGATTTGATTAAAAAACAATAAAAAAATTAACGTAATTTTTTAAATTAGTATAACTAAATCCTTGAGGATACTGCTTTACACTATTGGTGAAGAAATATGAGATTTGAATATATTCCATTATAACTATAACAACATTAAACACACACACACACACACCTGTTCTTTGATTAAATAACATAATCTCTCCCATGCTTTTAATACTGAAACATGTGTATAATTAGTCTTACATATAATGTTATGTTAAAAATGGCTTTTGAGAAACTTCATAATATTTATTTTCTCAAATACACAAACTAATAAAATAAATCAAAGTAAAAAACAATAAATGAATAACATGTTCAGATTTATGATCAAAACATAACAGCTAATCACTTAACTAGAAAAGCTTATTTTTGACTAAATAATATAGATATATATATATATATAAAGAGAGAAAGAGAGACAAAACAGATAAACATATATTTTTGAAACATCAAAAATCAGATTCTATTATTTTATATATTACAATAAGAATCTTAAATACATTTTATGCTAGTAAAAATCACGGTTTTTAATCATGCGGGCATCTATGCACACTCTCTTCTGTGGGGGTATTTGTCGCAAGGGAGATTATCACAGAGGTTTATTTTTGTGGACATTTGTCGGGTGGACTTTCATGAAGTAGACTTTTATTGGGAAACCACTCTTGCCATACTCTAATACCTTTTACAATTGTGATTATCTTCTCTAATACACTTTCCACAATTAATTATTTATCATAATAACATTTATAAACATAATTTTTTTAAACTAAATACAAAATATTACAAACAAATAATAAAAATAATTACTTCTTCGATGTTTTGATACATTAGATTTCCTCTTTTTCTTTGAGTCATCACTTTCTGCAATAAAGGAAAAGCATATTTTTCAGAATTAGTATTACATCTATAATAATAAAAGCAAGTGTAATGTGTCTGTCTGTCTGTCTGACCGAGCTCTCCAGCCAAATCTATCGCACGCAGGGACCTGGAATTTTTTATACGGAAGCACAAAGGGGCTGGCCACCAGACCGAAGCCCGATTTTCGATTTTGAATTAGAAAAATTTTTAAAAATTATTTATAATTTAATTAATCACGGTTTTTTTGACTCACTGATATTATATTTGTTTTCAAATAACGTTCGATTGTAACAATGATTTCTTTATTCTAGCGTTAGTTTGCTGTTTTGACGATACATTAAATCGATTAATTACAATTCATTTCTTTTTTGTAGCTTTGTGGGGGGGGGAAAGAGAGAGAGACAGTCTACATGTCCTACACTACTATTCCTGCGCTATTCACTTATCTGCATTTTCTAAATGCACGGGCAACGCCGGGCGGGTACACCTAGTATTCAATAAGAGAGAACTACAAAAACTCCATAAAACTAGATAAAATATTTTTAAATGCATATTGTAATATAAACTAAAAGCTGAGAAATGAAGTTTCGTTCTCAAGGCAACATTTTCTAGTTTTTCCCATTAGTTCTAAAAACAAATATAAAAATGAAAGCTAAAAGTAGGCGACATCGATGGAACTAAAAGAGAATTTTATTCATATGAATAATAATTTTATTTCCTGGCTTCTTAAATAAATATGAAAATGTTTGATTGTTTTACAGTCCTCTTCTTCAGTGAGAAAAATATTTCATGAATACTGTTAAAAAAAATAGCATTGGAAACTTCTAGTTGCCAAGGTGTCAGTTACATTAGGCCTTATCAACATGTCAGTTATAAATTACTACAATTTAATTAATGGTTATAAAATATACATATGGCATACTGAAATATACAGTAATGGTATTAAGTGAAAAATGAAACACATTCAATAGAAACCTTATTTCGAATTTTCAACTTCTCTAGGTTAGTAGTTTGCATATCATATACTTAGATAATATATAAGCCAAGGATGCTGAATGTCAGATACAAGATATTTGTGCTTGTAAATTATATAAACAAAATATCTTTGTAAAGAACATTATGCTATCTAAATCCTTATTTAATGTTGATGCCTCACTGCAGTGTGTAGCTAGAACTTTTGCTGCCCGATGCAGTTCCTAAGTTTACCACCTGGGGTAGTCCCTGAATTTGCTGTCACCTCTTGATACACAAACAGATAACTATAAAAAATGTCAAAACTACATGTACGAAAATAAATTAAAACTTCAGATTTATTTTTGAAGAAAAACTTTAATTCTAACAATTTAAAAATATATTATTATTTTGTTTGTTTTTCAGCTTACAAAGCCATCAATGTCATTGTAGTGGTCTGCTATGTTGCTCCTGCTACTGTTATGTAGATAGTGTAGAACAGGGGTTCTCAACCAGAAATGGGAAATTCCTTCCCCCAGGGGTAATTTCAGTTTCAGGGAGGAAATAGAACCAGCCTTCTTTTCATCTGTCAAATATCTAGTTTTAGTTAATATAAAAAATTACATTTATTCAATTTTTGGCATTTATCAACATTTTCTTTTCTTGTTTAATTTATAAAACCCATTAAAGTAATCTAAATTTAAATACATGTATATGTATTTTTCGAGTTTTGGAAAGGAATGGACATGATCTTCTAGTAATGGTGAAAGAGGTGCATGAGACAAAAATGATTGAGAATCAATGGTAAAAAAAGATTTCTTAAATATAAAATATACATTTGCATATCTTAAAAACATTTTGAATGTTTTTTTTTTTATTATTATTTTATTTTATTTATTTATTTTTTTTTATTTAGAAAACGCTTTTCACATTTAGCAACACTTACAACAATTGAGATAAAAGTTCAAGTATGATTTTTGGAATTGCCCTTCCACATCGCTGTTTCATTTTATCTATCAATGTCTGATTCTCCTTAATGAGGAATGTTATCATGATCATAACATGTTCATACTCATAATTTGCATTCAAAAGTTTCGATGATATAAAAAGGTACAACAAGAGTATGCAGCAGTTAAAAGTATGTGAGGATTTCTTTAAATACTTTATCTAAAGTAAGAATTCTTTCTCTTCTCAATTTAATTCCATATGACAATTTTGAAGTTAAATGTTTCACAGAAAAAAACCCTTAAAAATGTACTACCTAGGACAGACTGGCCATTCGCTCTCCGCTAGTTATTCCATTGCCTATTAAAAGCTGTTATCCAGTAGTAGCAAAAAGAAAGGTAAGTTGTTGATCTAGTTACCACAGCATTCGTACCATTCAAAGCTTCAAACATATATTAGTGCAACACATTTACAGCTATGTATGCTAACAATAACTAGTCGCACACCTGTTCCGCTCATCACAATATTCAGTACACTAAATGAGGTATTCCATGTTTCAATGAAAAAATGGTTTTACCTTTAATGATTTTGAAGGTTAATGTAAGGTTTCTAAATATCTTTAAAGTATAATGCTCAATAGATCAGATTATGTGACACGCAACAGGATAAAACTGTATGAGATATACTAATTTAACATTTTATTTAAAAACAGAATGCTAGAAAATATGCATTAAGACTATTTAATGTATTAATGAAATTATTGCAGCCTAAAATATAATATTAAAAATATAAATAAAATTTTTTAAAATAAAATAAGAAACAGTTTTCTCAAAAAATATTTTTTTATTAATTATGATAAATATACAGAATTATATTACTAATAAATAAAATAAACACATATCATTCACGTTTACTATATCATTACTTATTTTTGTCAAATCGATACGATTATATTAAATGCTTCAACTTAGTGAGATATTTCAGCAATATCAACTGTGATATAGCTGAAATATCTTAACAAGATATTGATAATAAGATATTAATAACAAGATATTGATAATAAAATGATGCACAAAAATTTATAAAAATTACACAGCATGAGTAATACAAGTTACCATCTGATCGTGGAGGTTCCAGCCTGTAGTTCAAAATTTCACACCATCCTACTGGAAATAAATCTGGACTTTCACAATCACACCACTGGTCATAAGCCTCATCCCAGCCATCGAAATGAACACGTAACAAGCGACCAACCACTTTTGTGACCGAAGCCACGCAGATTAAACGAGGTTCCATCAGATCTACGGCTTCAAGGTACATACCTTCTTTAAATCCATGGTTTGGAATTTCCTGTATATCAAGGAAGGAAAGAGGGAATTTGGCTACAAATTAAAAGTGATCAAATTTTTAAATAGTATTAGAAACTGAAATCTCAATCCAATAGTCTGTACCCTTAATCTTAATTATTCATTTGAACAAATTCACTACAGCACAGATCTTATAAGAAAATTATTTTTCCTTTCTAGTTATTTCTATTCATGCTGATTTTAAAATAAAAATGATGATGTGTTCATACTCTGTGAAATAAACCAACAGGAGCAGCTTTAGATTTTGTTTTCTTCAGGTATTCCTGCCATTTAAATTCTCCTTTGTAACCTAAAAGAATAAAAGAACATGGAATTCAATATATTATTTTAAAATTCTTTATTATGTTGGAACTTTTAATATGCTATTTTACAAAATACCAAAAACAATTATCATAAAGTTCTTTAACTGCAAATTAAACATAATAAATAAAATTCATTGGCCCATACTCTGTCTTTTATTAATAGCCATCCACACTAATATGTTAGCAGTGATCACTGCCATATTATTTGGCCCTCATTCAAATACAGAAAAAGACATGAATATACTGTGTAAAAAAAAAAAAAAAAAAAAAAAAAAAAAAAAAAGGAAATATTATAGTAGACTCTAATTACAAATATTTCCTGCCCAGAACTGAGGCATATGTCAAACTCTAAAAAGAACATTCCAAATCTTTCACTTAAATTCAAATTCATTAATGTTTACATCTGAAACCAATCTAATAACTCAAAAACAAATTCACGGAATACAGATAACATCGCCATACACACACACATGCACCCCCCTTTCCCCCAAAAAAGCTAATCATTAAAAGTCTCTAAAATTACTTCTCATTCAAGAGTGATGTCACATTTCATGGACCTTGTAATCATTTTTCCTGTCATCCTCCCAATCTTACAATGAGAAATAAGGAATTGAATATTGCAACATTCATAATCATAAGTCTAATCTCTGGGTTTTCTTGACAGTTCTTCCATGTCTTGTAATATGAGATACTCCATCGTGTGAAACGGATACGTTTCTCTGCTGAGGTGCTTTTACTGGAGATTGACTTTCTTTTAGCCCTAAGTATCAAAAGTCCTGCAAAATCAATGCTTGTAATCTGGAACACAGAGGCATCTTCAACTGGATCACTGGGCAGTGGTGGGGCTGGAAGATTGACCCTTTCGCTGGAATATCTTTTACAAATAATGCAAGATCTCAAGATGGATGAAACAGTTTTTCGTCTAGATAGTAACCAGAATCTTTCTCATAGAGAATTTAAAACGTGAGAAACTCCAACATGTCCTTTAATTTGATGTTTTTTGTATTACTTTTGATAAAAGGATGGTCACTGGGTAGAATGGCAGGAGTTCTAAATTCTCACTTATCATCTTATTGATATACTATAAGGTATTTCTCCCACCTTCTTTGCATGCCTTCGTGGTGTGGTGGTCTGCACGCTGGGCGCATATTCCAGAGGTCCGTGGTTCAATTCTCGGCGAAGGCGTTGCATATTTTTCATCTTTCCTGCTTCCAAAAATACCTAATGTCTCTACAATACTGCTGTTTTCGTCCTACTGATTTCTAGACCTAGAAATGGATTTAGTGACACTAAATGCTTATTTTCAACTCCAGCAAAAGATTCATTTTCTATCAAACAAATGAGCACTTTCTCAGGTTCATTAAGCTCAGAAACAGTACGTTCATTCTTATAATTGGAGTTGTGAATGAATCGACAAACCCAAGCATCATTCGAACAGTCCGATGGTAAGCTGAGAAGCGAAGAGTATTTATTAGACCAACAGAATTTGTGTTAATGTAGTTGTTAAGATGATACAATTTTCTTTTTCTTCTCCTTGGCTACTTCTTCTTCATTTACAATGAAGTTGTTGCTTGGCCAGTTTTCTCGCGGTGGATATAACCATTCCGATCCCTCCCACCAATAGGACGTGACTAAATAGCGGGCAGAACATCCTCTACTGGGCAAATCGGTAGGCTTCATTGTTGTTGCTATATGCTTCCAGGCATGCCTTGGAGTAAGTTGCCTTACTTTGTATCCAGGCCAGTACAGTTGAAGAATCAGTCCAAAAACAAACGTTCTATACTTTAAACTCTTTTAAAATGGACAAAGCTAGACGAGCACAAATAGTAGCACCCAGGAGTTCCAATCGGGCAAAAGAAATCTTTTTCTTCCTAGTGGGAGTAACTCTTGTTTTAGCTTGCAGCAAATTAACTTTCACAGAGTCTCTGTTTTCAGCACAAATGAAAGCTGCAGTTTAATATGCCAATTTACTTGCATAGCAAAAGAAATGAAGTGATATTATTTCAAACTTACAGTACCTAGGTATTTTCAAACCTTTCAAGTAATTCAAATCATTCATCCACTTTAATTCCAAGACAATGCAGATTTCCACAGACTCTGAAGCATAAGCTTAGGAAGCAAGGTAATAGGAGATAATATTCCCAGAGGATTAAATACTTTATGAGCAGTTGCTAAAATTGTCCTCTTAGTTACCTTTTCGGGCAATTCATTAATAACATTCAAGCTTAGTGTATCGTTATTACGTTCCCATTGCATTCCTAACACATTAGTAGTGTTAAAGGAATTCTCTGATATATCAGTGCATTCCCATCCACGTAATTCGAATTTCCTTTCAGCTAAAATATCTGTAGCCATTTGTATGAAATAATGCAATTCTTGATCCTTTTTGACACTGTTAATACAGTATCGACATGAAAACAGTTCTTCAACTTTTCACCCATTTCTGCTGAATATTTTAATTTTCCTTCGACAGTATTTTTCAAAATGGAATCTAAATGTTACAGTCAAAAGTCGTTAATTCGGACACCCATAATCCGGAATGATCTATAATCCGGACGTCAAATCTACAAACTATCTGCGCATGCGTCGTGTTGACGCATGCGCGTAAGACCTTTACGGCTATGAATATGCGTGTGCACATGCACATAATACGTTTACGTATGCACGTTTAATGTATAACGAACGGTATAAGCTAAGCTAAAATTATCTAATTCAGTTAACGTTGCAGATTGCGTTGTTTCTTAATCTTCGAATTGGATCCGTCTTATTATTTTTTGCAGACTGTTACAGCAATTTTATAAAAGTAAGCTTGAACTTTTGATTATGTCAAAAAGAATTTCCGATATATATTTACTCATATGTAAAGGATCTACAAAGCGAAAGTATGTTTCGATGTCCATCAAACAAAAAGTGGAATTGCTGAAAAAAATGGATAAAGGCATATCCTTTGTTTCTCTAACCATTCCGAAATCTGTTTATCAATTTCACGCTGCTCTGCGGCCGCGCGGGGGGGGAGGAGGCATGGTGCGCAATGAATTGAAGTTGATCTGTCAGCACTATCCTTATCTTCAGGGCAGATGTTTTTATTTTATTTGGCTTATAATTCATCACTGAATGTAGTATTTCATCTCGATGTACTCCGTCTTTGATATGATTTAAATCAAATTCCTCGTCATTATAATTCGCTTCCTATAGTGGAGAAAGTGACACAGAGGTTATTGAAAACGAAAAAATTTCGATTGACAAATTAGTCGGTATTCTTGACACAGCAATTATAGGACTTGAACAGTGGAACTTTGTAACTGAAGAAGAAATTACGTCTGTTTATAGAATTAAAGAGAAAGTATTATCACATAAAACAAAGCAACTTAAACAACTTACATTGAAAGAAATGTTTAATAAAAAAAACAAATAAATATTAAGCTTTTTTTTTTTTGTAAATTTTGATACCCTTTAGATCATAATTGTTCTTTATTTCATAAATTACGGTTTCATATTTTTAATTTTATAATTTCTGCAAGCCATCTTACCAGATTTAAACCGATAATCTATAATCCGGAATCGCCAAAGTCCCGACGAGTCCGGATTAACGACTTTTGATTGTATTGAATAATAGAACTGAGTAAAAAAGGACTACTGGAGATGCCAAACTCAATTCTACAGTGTCTGTAATATTCCCCCATATATATATATATATATATATATATCCACCATATATAAATTTCCCCCCACACAGTGTCTTTAATATTTCCCCATATATAGGGGATATATATATTATTATATTCCCTATACCCCCCCCCCCACTAAAAAAAACACTTTTCATTACAAGTCTCTAACATTAGTTTTCATTCAAGAGTGATGTCATATTTCATGAAGCTCCTAATCATTTTTCTTGTCATACTGTGTTTGTCTTAGAAAGACCCTTAAAATAACATTAAGCCAAAAGTACCTTTGAGAGATATCTGGTGAGGGAAGGTAAATGAGACTACTGGATACTTCTAAAATTATTTCATTAAAACTGGCATGGAATTAGATTTCCAAGTTCCTCCTTAGGCTGCTATTAGCACATAGAATAATCTTGTGATGTCTTTTATAAAGGTCAAGAGAAAAATCAACAAGATCTTTTATTAATTAAAATAATGGTACATATATTCACCGAATTATCAGCTGAATATATTATAAATTAAAAGAGTACAAAGTCCATAATCTACATATTCAACATTTGGAATGATCTAATATCTGAAACTTAAGACCACAAGCAAATTTTCTTCTTTTAGAAATTTTTGCAGGCATTTGGGAGAAAGAATTAGATTTTCAGAGTAGTTTCTTCCTTTAGTATATGCTTAATGTCTCTTGCTTATTTATCAGAAATGTTTTCCAATAAACACGTACAAGGTCCTCATTCTTAATTTCAGCACTAAATAAAACACCTCCATGATGAAGAAACACAATCATTTATTAGCATAAATTTATATGATTAATACTTTAGCTCCGTAGACGCCTTTTTGTTTGATATTCGTCTCAAATCGAAACACTCTACCAAATGTTCATCACTGATTTTACATCTAGTGAATAACTTGTAAGGATCTTAAGTTTTACTAATGTTTATTTTATTTTAAATCTTTACTATCACTTCTTATTTTCCACTTCCGGCCAGAATTATAAGCGTGAAGGAGTTTATGCAAAGTTGTCTGGCGAACGCCAAGTATTTAAGTGTGGCCTTTTTGCAAGAATGAGAGAGGAAGCAGTGAGTTCGAAGCAGGCCGCTTACCTTAGAAGTTACGCAGTTGCTATTGCCTTCCAGGCCAGAGGTTTTAATCCTCTTGATAAATTAAACGTATTGTAGTGTCACAGTCTCTGTGCTACATACGCTTCCTGTTATTATAAGGCAATTACAGTGTATTATTCTAAAGTTAAATTTGAGTTTAGTTTTATTTTAATATCTTTTACGTTAGACCCCGAGTGGAGGGTCATTGTATTCCGAAGT